GGGTGGAAACGTTGCACTAATCCGAGCCTCGCTATAGCTTTACAAAAAGAAAAGGTATGTCACATCATATCCACTTTCACGCGAGATGAATCTGACAACACTAATCCGAGGCGAAATCGTTGCACTAATCCGAACTCCGCTGTAGCTTCGCGGGAAAGAAGTACTTCGTTTCGTTGTATCGACCACCGCACGATAACTCTTCAGAATTTAACGGAATTCCACGAACATGAATTTAATCTGTCTCCGAATTCGATTATAATAATTCCTCCGTCCATACTGTCTAATAACGGCCCACGATTTCAGCGTAGCTAAAACTTTCTCGTTCCAACGATTCTAATTGAGCAATCGGAATAATGTACGATGCAAGTGTCAAAGATAAAAATACTGAACAGAAATGAAAGATCATAAAAATCCGAGTGCTATCTAATAAAGCCAATTTATCGGCGTATTCAGCGCGGAATTAACATTTCTCAACGATTACGAGAGAGGGAGAGAGAGGGAGAGAGAGAGAGAGAGAGAGATCGAGAAGTGGAAAAAGGGAAAGAAACTATAATTTCCAATTTCTCTGACACCGGCACCGTTCACCGTTCGAACTCCTCGATTGTTTGCCTGGGAGTTCATTGGCCACCCGATAGTATGCGGTATACACGTTTCAATTTAAATGTGTACATATGTATAATCGTATGTATAATTACGTACAGAAGACAGAAAGAATGCGAGACACACACATATTATATGTATATATATAAGATACATGTACACGACTGGTGGCTATACTGTAATCGTAATAAAAACGGGACTGAAGGCTGCGTCCTAATTGGATCGTAAATATTATTTACATCTATTCACCATTCGCGGCCGCGTAATCCTTTCCTCCTCCGGTCGTCCCGCGGCCCGCACGCACGCACGCGCGCGCGCGCGGGCAAACGCGCGAACGCGAGCGTGACCCCACTCACCGTTTACAATTACTAAACCGACGTAACAAGAGGTAATTGTTAGTTACGATGAAGAGGTGATGAGTAGATTATTTCTCCGCCGACGGTCTCTCTCTCCGTCGAGGTGAACCGGAATGACTCCCAGCATACCGTCAGTGATTCGATAACGATTGTTTTGCTCCGCATGATACTCGGAAGAGAGCGAGCGAGCTAATTGTGATAACGGACCGTTGTTCCTGCCGCGATCATTATTACTTTATGGTATGAAATTCTATTGTAACGCGAACATCTTTATGTCGGGGAAATCGACTAATGCTTAACGCACGTGCTTATTCAATTGTTTCTTTTGATATACCGCGGTATCTATTGGAAGACACTCTAAAGAAATCTCCTGAATAATCATGGCTCTTCGCGATGTTGATAAAAGAAATTTTCGTTCAGCAAGGAGAATGTACATAAATAATTGAAATACTTCATGATGTTAACGTCGCTTTATATTCATTGAGAAGCGTTGAATATAAAGAACAACGGTGAAATTACTTGAAAGTTCAGAGTTGTTTTAATATCTCTTTCAACGAAGCAATGCTTACAATCGATTGATATGTGTCTATCGTGCAAAGAAAAGGTGTAAAATCCGCGAAAGCAGAAACTCGGATTCATTTCCCGATCCCGTTATCACAGTCAGCTCGACACATTCCAAAACGTCATCGGCAAGAAAACAAGAACAGTTCGCAATCACCTATGCTAGATAAACTGGCCCGAAATAGAAAAAATACCACGAACAAATTTTCCATGGGACATTTGGATCTCGAACGAGTATGATACAGTCCACTAATACTGTAGGCCGTGGTTTAATATCACGATGAGCGAGCGCGAAGTTTCTCGGCCTTCCCGAAACCTCGAATAGTCGCCGACCCCGCATCGAATTGAATCCCTTCGAGTCGCGGAAAAAAGTGGGTCGCGCGTGAATACGTGTAACGTTGATTAACACGATAAACAATTAATGAAATCCGTAGAGCTTCCGGGGGACCGAGGCTCTCGATCTCTCTCGATCGAGCTCGCCCCCGAAAAGAATCCATCGAACGATCGAAGCGAAAAAATGATTTAAGTACAGATCATGGAATATATCGTACAATCGTATCGTCTAGGACACAGAAATGCGAAGGGAGGAACGGCAATGTTGTTCTCGCGTCGACGATTTCTCCCAACAAAATGAATAATAATAAAAAAAACAATATTTATATAGAGGAAACAAAAGGCATTCCCCCACCCAGGTTTCGTTCGTCAATGTTCGTCTGTTCGCTGTCCCGTTCCCATTCTATCCGGATCATCGTCTCTTGCATTATTTTGCGAAGATTCGTCGCTACGACGGCTGCAAGCCATCCAAGAACGGCACAACGCTGCACACGGAACCGACGGAGGGTTAGAGGGATGAGTTGTGCATTCACTCGCGCTGCAGTATCTCCTGATTTGAGGAAATAGAGAGAAAGCGTTCAGATCGGCTGACCTCCTCGCGCGGAGAGCGTTCCAAAGCGGGTTTCTTTTCTCGTCTCTCTTTCGTCGCGTCTTGCGGTAATCGATTGCCCGGAAATAGGCGGAATGCAAATGCATTTATTCTGTCGGGCTCCGTTCTTTCAATCGCGAGTCTGGCAGAACGATCTGACATTTCCCCGAGAAGAAGGGAAGATTGGGTTTCAGTCTTTTCGTGCACAGGGTTAAAATCAATTAACTACTTTAAACTTGATATATATATATATATATATAAACATTCATTTGAATATTTGGAATATTGATTAAATTCATTGGAAAATTTATATTCTGTCAACGTATGCTTTGCCAATGTGAAAATAAGTCACACGTGAGTTTCGAGTTCGGAACTCGAGGAATTAATTGTGATAAAACTCACGATGGCTTACAAGTTTTTAAATCGTAATTTTAGTAGATATACTTTTCCAATGGTCTCGTTAATGATGCAAAAGTAATGGAACTACCCTGTACACGTGTCCCCGAACAAGCTTTTCCAGTTACGCGTCAGGCATGTGTCGCTAACGGGATCGTTTGAAATGCTTCCCTATGGTACGAGTACTTTGGACTGATACTGGGTTAATATGGAATTTACCCGCAGAGAATTTTACGCGGCCGCAATGCGCACGGCATTCTTTCGTGTGTCGCAAGCCATTTAATCGGTGCGAGCTTGCGTGTACCTCGTGAAAAATGCTCGCCCAGGCAAAGTCGAGAAACAAACGCTGAGGCGGTCATCTTCGGTTGCGTACACTACTATGCAAGCATGCAGAAATTCGAGGATGCGTTCGACGTGTCGTAACGCGGTAGAGAAAGAGAGAGAAAAGGAATCGTCATTGCGTGAAAATAGTTTAGACCGGTGATTCGAGAACGTGACTCTAGAGATTTCTTGACAATCACCAAGCGGACATCACACATAAAACAGGAACTTCGTGACTCGATATTCTTAAGACTTTGCCACTATAGAATAAAATGAACTCCTTATTCTCACAGCGTAGTTGAAGGTGAATAATGAAAATACGATGAAACTCTATGAAATATTTTACAATATGGATCTTTAGAGGACCAAGAATTCGACAAATACGCAAAACCTGCGATCAGTTAAATACTAATATTTAGGTCCCAAGCTATGTATATGCATAGTTCCTCGAATCACCCGATTATCCGACTCTTCATGCAACACCCTCTACCAGGATGCCTCGGCGAAGTACGAAAATAGACGTTAAACTGCTAAGAAAATGGACTATGCTAAGATTCAGCCCAAGATGCTCGAAGCAACGAGAAAAATTGGCAAAGTGCGTCGTGATCAGTTGTCCAGCTGATCAGACTACTCATGCATCTTGCCCGTGATCCTCGACGAATCGTTGCGTGTGTACATTTTCGTGAAAATAGAAAAAGAACTCTTTGCGTCGTATCATCTGAAGAAGCTTTGAATGGAACGCTTTGGAACGCTCGCCGCGCGACTGAAGAACCGGCGCTCCATCATGGATACCGCGGCGTGTTCAACGTGACAGGGTTTGAACAGAAGTGACGTTAGAGGTATACACGAGGATTGAATGCCGACTCGTAAGCGTCTGATCGTTCGTCAGTGTTTCCACTTTTCGTGGACGGTGGCGTTGAGCGAGTGCCCCGAGTTTACTCCTCGAGACGCGGACGGTTCACGCCGCTCGGTCGTCTGGGGGGCTGTTTATTAGTTACAAGAAACCCTCGGCCACTCGGGAAAACATTTACACAGTCCGATCGATCGATCACCGACTTTGGTGCACTTACCGCCTGCTGGAATCGGGCGGAGAAGACAGAGTCTCAGTTACCGTGCATCGGACAGTGCACCTTTGTCGTCGATCAATTTGGTAACCTTGACATTAAGGTAGCTAGAAGATCTACAAGGAAAGTTCTCGTGTTTCCCTTTAAGATTGTAGCTAAGCTACGCAATATCGATAATTTGTTAGTAAAAAAATGGTCTTTATTCTAAATGTACGTTCAGTCCAAAAGGCTATCATTCGATTCCAACTGAAAAGAGGCAAATCGTGTTCGCGTAAAATATATTTTACTGAACATTGAGTTTGTTCCTTTGTTTCTGGTGATTAGCTTTGTTGTAATAGCTAATTAATGAAGAAATTGGAGATAGCTCGTATAGGAGCTTTAATTGAATTGGAATTTTGCCAAGGTTCGGCGTAACATTCAGTGGTAGCGTTTCTCTTCGATATCGATCATTAAAGCGCCCGACTCTGTCTTCTCGATCAACCGATCGTCGGAAGCTACGATTACCAACTTACCATTTCGGTAGTGAGACTGGCAAGCGCCTCTTCGACGGTGGCCGCGATCCTCCCTCCGTCGTCTTGGCGCTGGCTGCCCCTGATCGGCGTCGTCGGGCAACCTAAAATGATCGTTAGTCGTCATAGTGCAAGAGAAAAATCAGCGCCGGTTTTGCAGCTGGACGATCACCGGAGCAGAGATACGTGTTTGCCTAGCGATTGTGTTCGAGTCGAGCCGAGTCGGCAATCTATGGGGTAAAAACTGTAGACTCAGGTGTTGAGCTAGAGAGGATCACTCCAATGACTCGTCCGGCTAAAGAAATTCCAGTTGAATTATAGAATTGCACAGGATTCGTGAGTTTCTTTGACACGCTTTCTGATTTACTGGTACGAATCGCGGATATTGTCGAATAAAGTGTGGCAGAAGAACAATTTCTACTACCTGAACGTTTCCACAGCTTCTCGTTCCGACAATCGTCTATCAAGCGAAAGAAAGATTCTATTGACCATACGTTATGATGGTCATTACACTTAAGAAGAGATCAATAAACTTTTTGCTGGCGAAAAGACAAATGTCGAACTTATACCGAATCTTATTGAAATTCGTATTCTATGCAAGTCTACCGTCCTTTAGCCAGGAAACAATCACCAGAGCGTTCCTTCTTGATCATCAAGATCACCAAGATGCGTCGAGAGTATAGAAAAGCGTGCAGAACCTACGAATCCGTGTCTACAAGTGACAAGAAGCGTGTTACAACTATTCGTATATGCCAAGTGTAGCAGTAATGAAGAAAAGAGAGAGAAAGAGAGGGAGAGAGAGAGATAGAGAGAGAGAGAGAGAAAGAGAGACAGAGAGAAAGTAGTAGATCGTAAAAGAGAGTAAAAATCGAAACTTATCTCGAGGCACATCGGTTCTAAGGCGATGCTGATTGTCGTTAGAATAGCGTGCGAGTCAACATACCGCCAAGTAAGAGAACGGTGTGTGTCTGATCGGGGTTTTAATGAGAGTGAGGTCTTGTGTTTTTGCAATATCGTCGCTTTATTGTCGCTCTCATTGTTGAGGAGAATGAAAAGAAAACGAAAAAAAAAGAAGAAGAACTAAGATAGGTCTTCGACTGTTTTGACAAGGCTTTCCACGTGACGATCACCTAGACAGGACTAAGGAACACCGGCAATGTTTGTTCGATGTCCACCGACTTAACGTGGACAAATCAATCGTGTCATTGTTCGATAAAACATAACACCGTCGAAGATGCTCGCCGCCGATTCTCGTACACAATTGTCATTGTGAACACGGTACACACAATACATTCGCGACGGGCATCTTCGCTCTCGAGTCAATAATGTATAAGTGTATTCGTGTCCGCGTATGATTCTCTCTTAAGTTAAACACTTACGGACGACAACCTTGAACTACAATCTAGAACACATAGACAATGAGATTAAATTTAGGCACTGGAACATCTCGTTCGGTACGTGTCGACGGGCTCAACTATTGTTCTAATCGTCTTCGATCCTATGAACACAATGGCAGCTGATGGACTCGTACGAACACAAATACGGCGCGTTTCCTTCGTCGTGGAAATCGACCGGTCAGCGATCGGCAACGGTGTCGTTTGAGCGTGATACCGATTCGGGTGGACACACGCTGACAGCCTGACGTCGCACAGACGTAACTGAATTTCACCGATCGAATGTGTCTCCGTGCGGTTGCTAGGCTACGCGGTTTCGGTACATCTAATTCACGTGTCCGTTACATTGTGTTCGGGAACTACATTCTGCTTGTCTCTCGATTTTTAATCGCACCGTGTGATTATCGTACACGCTCGTTACACAGAACGATAAGTATTCTTACAGAGAGATCACGTATCCGTATACAAATGGTTCAATGCCCTCGATGCTTCGAGCTCTACTCGAATGACGATAATATACGACGACGGACAACGATGCTGGCTCGTCTATTTCGTATGTTTCATAGTTTGTTTCAGAACACTACCTCAAAATCGTGGCACGTTAATCAGACTTCCGGTTGCTGGCGCGATCGCCGCGTTGATTGCCCGTCACCCGATACAATTGAAACTCCTTACGAAACTCCTACTTGTTACGGTATCGATTACATCGCCTTTGCAGGGCATAATTCGGGGACTATATACTGGCTTTTCAAACACTACTCTACTACTCTTTCTTAACCCCCTGAGTTGGAATCGTTGAAGTTCGTCAAATAGCAGGCATCCTCGTTTACGTTAAGAAGAATATTTCACTGGAAATCACACCGTTCGCGAAGAGAAGAAGGAGCTATCGAATGAAAGACAGAATTCTCAATGGATCGGACTCATTCAATGTTCAGAATATCTTCTATAGGAAACGGGATCGTAATCCCGTACTACGTATTGTAAAGTCTACTAGTAAAAATATAATCCATTTAAACGATCCGCCGATTTCTTTTGACTATCTCGTAGAACTTTCACGTCTATACAAATATTTTTACGTTAGCTCTGTTCGAGGAGCAATCTTGTGGCGTGTCCTCGTTTGTGAAGGGTTAAGTTGAGAAGCCAACGCAAGAGGTTAACGCAGCTGCGTTCGGGTCCAGAGAAGGGGATCGGACAATCAACGGGACAGGTACACCCGGTGCAAATCCTTTCGCCGCGGAGGTCGAAGAAGAAGAAGAAGAAGAAGCAGAAGAAGTAAAACGAAGGAGTCTTCGAGGCACGTAGTGGGGCCCTTCAGGAGCTGTAGTAGATGTTCAGCGCGTAGAGCAACTTACCTGCGTCACCGCTGCTCGAACTCTCGGTGAAGGACGGGGTGCCCTCGGTCCAGGTGGGCGTCGAGCCCTCCGCACTGCCCGCAGGAGGTGTCCAGGTGAGGCCGCCTCCTCCGCGACTGCTGCCACCGCTTTCCACGCTCAGCGACGACTTCGTCTCCCTTCCGCCGCTTCCGCTTCCGCTGCCGCTGCTCTCTAGGTGTACGTCGGATATGCTGGAACGTCAATCGAAGATCGATTACACGTTGATTGCCACGGAAAGTTTCAGCGTTTTATGTGTCATTTTCTTTATAGCGAAAATACAAAGAAATGATTATGAATTATTCGATACTACAATTCTTAAGTTACGTTATTATCTATTTATTTACGCTGCTGAATATTTTTATTGGATGTCAGTTATCTTAGGAGGTATCATTTTTTTTTCACGTCATTTGGAAGCTCCGGTCATTGGTGACCACTGTGGCAGTCAACGTGTTATCGGATCAGTATTGTTTGATATTAACACTAAAGCTACCAGCCAAGTCAAAATGATCTACCTTTGATCTCAACCTTTGCAACTTTTGAAAAGATACACGGGCTTTCCTGAAAAATCTTTTGGTAAATTGGTTCATTAATGCGCAGTCTGAAGTATACACTAATCGAAATCTTAAGAAATACATTTTTGTAATTTGCAGAAGAGTACGGGTTAGGTGATTTGATGGTTTGGTAGATTTAGTGTTTACTTTCTTGGAACTTCCAACGAAGTACAACTGTTTCAATTAACCCTTTGCACTCCGCTCTGCTATAGAGACATAATTTTCATCGCAGATGTCATATGTTACATTAATGTCAGGTTGCAAAATTCTTTTCGAAACGAATTAAAAGACGTGAATCCACGTATACCTGCAATTTTTCTTTTCTGAAACGGAATTTTAGATTCTTGAACGTTTCACTATAGAAATGAACTATTAAAGCGTTGAAAATGTTCGGAGTACAAAGGATTGATGTAAGAATTTCTGTTTGGAGGAATAATACAATCTAGACAATGAGTATGTTCCTGTTTCCTGATTCACTCGAAAATAGGGTATAACACTGGAAGCTAAACAGAAACAGTTGTTTGATCGTACGATTTTTGTTTTCATTGTTTCCAGGCGAATTGAAGGGGATACTTTAGTGGCAATTGATCTAGATAAGAGTGATTCACTCACCTCACGGCATCGTGATAAGTCTTTGTAAGGGTGACGTGGTGCACGACCTTATTCTGCTTGGATTGAGCACTGCTCAGACTGCTCGTTAAGATCGTGGCCGGTGCACCCTGCTGAAGTTGACCACCGGAAGCCAGGGTTTGGTCGTTCGAGCGCACTGCATCGTCAAAGGACGGGGGCGGGGTGGAGCAGGTGGAAGGGAGGGTGCCACCTACAAAAAGCGCACTACAATTAGCCCTAATGAACAGAACACGGTGTGCTTGGCTTCGTCATCGGAGGATTCTAATGGGATCGGTGTTCTCAGCACGGGAGGGTCTCACTCGGTAGACCGAAAACAAAGGACAATAATTTACAAGAAAAACAAAAGATCTCCGATTGCCGGTGGCTATTAAACAAAATCCTTGAACACATATAAATCGATAGGATTAATCCGTGAGACAAAGAAGCTAAGCGTGAACGGAGCTACAGAGAGAAATTTTCATTTCCTCTTTCGGGAGATTCTGGTTCGATTGAAAATATAATCGAAAAAGTAAGGATAAAAATTGTACATTTTACGTTAATCTCGTAATCGCAACAATAGGGATTTAAATGCTAATCAACGGTGTGTTATTATCGGTGATTACATTAAGCACGCAACATTAACAGCGGTTTCTACCGTTTTGTCACACTGCAAAGAACACGCTGTGTGTGATTCACTGTACAAGTATGTGCAAGCGTTATGTTGGTAAATGTTTTTAATCGAAGAATTCGTTTTGGTTGGATCGTTGGAACATTGAGAAAAGAAAACAGCGATCACTTCCTATTGAAGTCAGTCCGAATAAGCCATTCTATGTTCGCTGAATGGTAAAGACTGCTAAGTGTACTACTTGACTAATCTACTTGCGTGTCTACAGAGGCGCACAAACAGCGAACTACATTAGCCAGCAAAGTCGCACAGGCGAAACCGAATCTAGCTGAACAAAGGTATTTGCAGTGTAACGAGCACACTCGTGTGAACGTCCCTTTATTGTGATACAGAGAGCACACCATACAATCACTCCTATAAGATTGTTTCTTTTTTTTCTGTTTGATAGATGGAACGACGGTGTATCGATAGATATGTAAAATTTATTTACTCGTTTTCAAGAAATAGACGCAACGATGCAAGGCGAAGATTAAAGAGTTTTCTGCCTTTCTTTTTTCATTCAAAAGGTCTACGAGGAATGGAAAAGAAAATGAATATGTTTACTTGACGTATTTGTACAACTCAAATATGAGATTCACAGCAGATTCCTTTAGGCATAAGTTACTGTAGCCAAATGAAAATGATTAAAACTGGTCACGTCTATCCCCGTTTCATAAATACGAAAGATCTACGCATGCAGAGACACACTGTCAACCGATACAAGAAAAGAAAACCAATCCTTACACACTACGAGAGTTCAAAACTTGGTACTTCTCGTGTCTACCGATCGTAGCGCTCGGCATAGCCAAAGGACGGTACCTTGTCGATGCCATAAAATCGACGTTGGCAAACGGGCACAAAGAGTTGAACAGTTAATACGGTTAACAACAAAGTGCACGCCCGTCTAGAACACGCCGGGGGGAACACGCCAAATGTCGAGCTACTAACTTCTTCTCTCGTTTCTATTTGATGCGGGAGGAGATTCGTTCGAACCGGTCCGTCGTATTACAAAACTGACGCGGGAGATCGAGTGATGAGATGCGAAAAAGAAAAAGTAAACTCGGAGTAAGATGTACTTTGCGCATGCACGAAAGAAAAAGTTCATTTCGGGGTTCGTCCTCGGGGTTTCCGTGAAATTGTTCAGCTTTCTGATACGTTTCAGCGCCCGTTCTCCAAAACAAATCGTCTTAGGCTTAAGTGGTCCCCTCTTTTTCATTAGACTGCGTACTACAGATTGTTCTCTCTTGATTCATAAATTATAATTTCTTTTCTCTAAGTTGGTAACGATGCAAGAACGACGCGTTCGGTACCAACTTCGTGGAAACCCGTTCTTCGATTCTCTCTTTCGAGTCCTTCCAACCTTCGTTCTTCTTTTTCTGCCGTTCTTTAGACTCAAAATTCCAGTTCGACGAACTGCTAGCTTCCCGGACTCTTTCGCTGACGTTATCGCGACTCGACCGTGAATTCTGACTTTGATTACTTTCCTGTAACCGATACGCGTTATTTTTACTCGTCTGATGGTATTCGACTTCTCTGGTTACCGAGGGTGTATTGTCGAAGTCTCCTTTCGTCAACCTTGACTTCGCTTCAGCCTCGATCTGGAAGGAAGCGTACACCTGCTCTGTGCTCTTACATTTTATTTCTTCGACTTTAGTAACCAAAAACGTTCTCTTGTCGGACCTTAAATGAACAAACTTCTCTTCTTGCATCTCCAATTGCGTACGAACGTCGCTGGTCGATTTAGCCAATCGTTTGTTAGTATTAACCAATAAACTGGGCGGTCTCACAGGCGGTTCCGCCTGTTTCCGAGGCTCGTGAACGTTATAATCGATTCTCTTGGAAGCGTCGAACGGCTGGATCTTCGGGCTAGGTTCGGGAGCGAGCTTCTTCCTTCTTTGCGCAGACTTCTCCCTAATCTTTTTCAGCAACCGACTCTCGCGTCTAAGTTCAGCAAACTTCGAATCCTCGAATTTCCGCTCCTCGATTCTCTCATCTTTATTCATCGTTATCGATTTGCCTGCTTTCCCCGGTTGAATCTTTCGATCGCCATCGCGTCGGGTCAGCGCGGTAATCGTGGACATCGAAGCCTCCAGCTCTCTCTGCTTCCTCTTCATCCTTTCATAGTAAGTCTCCGAGTGTTTCTTGTCCTTCCTGGACATCTTATAGTTCATCAGCTCGGGCCTGGAACCCGGGTTTAAGAAGTACGTGAATTTAGCCATGGTGTCCGACTTCGAACTCCTAGGTTCTTCACTCTTCTGGGCGGTCTGGGGCTCTTCGACCCTCGGCCGCATGAAATGTCCTCTTTCAGGCCGGAACGGGAAGGGGCTGGTCCTGATCACGTACGACCCGTTCACCTTCTCCACGCTAACAAACTCGTCGTCCTCCTCGATGTCCTCGTTCCAATCATCCCAGCGGTTCTCTTCTTCGCGGGTGCTCTCGAAGACGGTCGTGTTCCTCGATTGCTCGATCATCGCCAGGCTATCGTATCTCGGGGGGAGGTAGGCGGGAGTCGACGTACGGGCATGCAACGCGTTCACGTCGTATGTATGGGTGGTGGTGCTGGTGGTGATGGTAGTGGTGGATGATGTGGCATAATTGGAGGTTGCAGTGTTAGCGGTCGCGGTGAGTGTGTCACCGGGGTTGTAGTTGGTGCACTGACCGGCGGAGGAGTAGTTAGTGGCGGCGGGCGGAGCAGCGGTAACCGAAGTAGTAGTAGTTGTAGTAGAAGAAGAAGAAGAAGTAGTAGTAGTAGTAGTAGTAGTAATGTTATCGGGTGTGGGGAGTGGTTGATGGTGCAGGATGCTCGAACTGTCATGCAAGCGGTATCTCGTGATTATGGCTGCTTCGTCACCTCGGCTGGATGTGATCGAGGACGTCGAGGTGGCCGTCCCGGGGCCGCGGTGCTCCTCCGAGGACCTGCCGGTCCTCGACTGACCGGTGCCTCTTGGCGGGACAGGGGGTGGTATCTTGCCGGAGGGTACCAGATTCGGGTTCGGCGGGCTGGCGGCGGTCCTGCCCTTCAGGACGGCTGGATAACTCGTGACCTTGGCCGTCGGGGTTGCCTGGACTGGTTCTTGATGGGGCGGTCCCGGGCCCGCGGCCAAGGTCAACGGGGGCGGGCTCACCGGCCCGCTGGCGAAGTTAACTGGGGTGGAGGTGGCGATCGGCGCGGAACCGGTGGACACCGCGGTGCTGGTCGTGCTGATCGCAGGGTCTGTCGGTGTCACCGCTGTTTCTCGTCCGTGGTCGGTAGATGTGGTTGATCGGTGGTACGATCGGTGGGACGGAGTCGCGCGGGGTTCGTGCGGCGACGCAGTGACAGGGGTAACAGAGACAGAGTGACAGAGACGGGTGGAAAGAGAGAAACAGAGAAGCTTGGTGAGAATGTGGAACGATTTGGCGGGCTAGAACGTGGCTTCGATTTTTATTGTTGTTTCGCTTGTTATTTTATTTATGTTATTTCTTTGACGTTTCTCTGTGAAGGTATTTCTTTATAAGGACATAACAATAGCGAGACGTAACAGTTGAAGTTACACGCTTGTCTCAGCGACTCGTCGAAGCAACGTTCCGCACCTCGCTGAATAAAATATTACTAATAATAACAGGAACGAATGAATATGATCAAATTCAAGTTATCATGAGAATGAATCGCGTTTACAGAGACCGTTCTGAATTCCGCGATCGACAGTCCTGTTATAATTCTAGCCCGTTACGAATCTCTGGTAAAGTATCGCCGAAGTCCACGACAGGGACGACGAGAGAAATCGAAACTGATAACTGACATTAGCAAAGTAAGTGATCGTATGAGACTCACCAGCCTTCGTGGGTGACGTAGCATGCATTGTCGAACTTCCGGTTGTCGGCACCGCTAAACCACCACATAACACCATGTACCATTACCGTATCACCATGTGTGCGACTCTCGATCGGACAGAGAAACTTCCAAATTCGTTCGCTCGCTCTCGAGCGACAGACTTTTATCGTTTCCCCTCGGGACGTTTCGATTGAAACGTCCCGGGAACCTCTCGATTTATTGCAAGTCTCTTTGTCCATTCACGGATCGAAGGTGTCCCGAAATGAAACAGGGATTCGAGCAAGGGACGTTCGAGGCAGACAGAGGGGGTCCAACGGTCGGAATGCGCGCATTCGACTGACATTCACGATAGAAAGCTGTATACGTACGTTCCACGCGTCTGTAAACAGATTCGAACGGGTTCACTCGAAAGCGATCCGACGTTCGATCGGTAAACAAACGCGCCGCATACATGCGATACTGTATTACCCTCGGATCGCGCAACATTTTTCTCTCTTTGCGCCGGCGCCGATATGTTTATCCGTGGCCGGCTCACAGAGAAATTTAGAATACTACACCGCATCGAATGTATGGCACGATACGTTGAATATACAGAACATTGCCCCGTAAATGAACCATTGAAAGTGTCTTCGTTCTCCTTTTTCAGGGAGAACTTGATTTCAATCAGTTAGCGATCTTTGTTGATTTTTAATAGCTGATAATGGCACAGGGTATAGATGTTCAAAGCAGAGGACGCTTAAAAAAATGATTAAAAAAAACAAAGAAATTTTTGTTTAAATCAGTCTATAGACTGGTTTATAGCTTATACCCTGTACAATCAACAAATATCGAGAATTTACGTTTCAAAGAAAAAAATTGAAAAAGAATTCCTCGGTACCCTATTCGCGTTATCGTCGAAGAAGAACAAGACATTTGAATTGGCCTATTGCTGAAAGAAACACCCTGTACAATCAACGTGTCCCGATGACGCTTTTCCGAGCGTCAGAATTTCGTTAAAATTCAATTTCAACGAATACGCGAGGTTTTCTTTGTTTTATCCATGTACCAGGTTCGGTGACAGCGGATTTACCTGTCAGCATGAAACACGATAGGCGTACGTCATTAGCACGTGGAAGCACGCGCGGGCAATCTTCGTAAAAGCGACAGGGTATCTTCTGAAAGGAACGCCACGCAGATAAGGGATGATTCAGTGGGGATTCTTGGTCCCGTGATGGATGGGGAGCGTGGTGAACGTTTTGGAAGCGGGTAACGTGGGACTGCCGCATCTAAGTTTACTGCACTGATCGCTGTGCCTGGCTACACACGTGAAATTCAGCGCAAAGCCAATAATAGAACCGTGGAAGATTTTCGTTCGAATTGTCCGCACGATTTTCGGAACGGAAACAATCGTACGTTTTTCATTCGATACGCGACGATCGTGTTTTACCGTTGGAACGTTTTCGTGCGATCTTTGTGTAGATCGTATCTTCAGTTTATGATAATTTATAATACAAGAATATTCGTGATAATGCATCCAATATTTGTTGCTGCTGTCTGTACGAACGATCAACGAAAGGAATTTATAAATAGATTAATAAACGAAAGATATTGAAATCAAAATTTTTCAATAGGTTACAAGATTATTAGCTGATAAATGCTTCTTATCTTTCTAGATAATCAGCGCCAACGACTGTGATAATTGAACATTCAGAGGAAGAAAATGTAACTGATTAGAACTTGATTTCTTTCTCAGACAAAAGCAATCGAAGCTTTCTATTAATGATATTAGATGCACTATAGTGTATAGGAAACTAAACAAGTTGTCCAAATTAGTTCCGAAAACCGGTCAATTTTCAGTCGCGTGTGACCACCGTGTGAAGCATAAACATTGTTGGAAAAAGTATTTTATCGAGAAATACGTGTGCAGACTCACCGGTTGAATCGAAGTCGCCTTCCAAGGGCCTGAGCGGCCTAGTGATGCTTTTTCTCTTCGACGGGGAATGTTTCAACGCTGAAACACAAATCGTCGGTGTTATAAATACAGACACGTGGCTGAGCTGTACAAGGACATTTGATTATTTACTCGTGGAGATCGGGATGATTATTTGGAAGTGTTGCAAGGACAGAGCCCTAATCGAAACACGCAGAATGACAGAATTTTAGTAGGCTGCATTTAATTATTGATAAATTATTGTAGACACAGGACATTAATAGTTCACTGCACGTTAACGTTATAGTTGTCGAGAGGCGTATAACAGTTTCGTCGAAAAACATTTTCTTGCATAATATATACTTAACTCGACTAAGTTTACAATTCATGTACATTATTTCATGAAAATCATCAATACATGAAAATGTACATCAATTCATGAAAATTATTTACAGACAATAAATACGTGCAGCTAATCATGTTTTATTTGTAAATGTCTTATTTGATCTCTGAATAATATCTATATTCATAACGAATTTTAAATATTCTAAAATACATATTCCCTGCTCAATATGTACAACCAGCGCTCAACAGTTTTAAAGATTTTTCATGGCAGAATAGGTGAACGCACTTGGCCAACAATAACGTTGAATATTTCGTAAACTATAAGTCGCTCATAGCTAAAATAATATATGAATAATTTCAGCATGCCAATCTCTATCACCCTGTCAAAGCTCGCTAAAAATGAGCTCGACTGGATCTCTCTTCTTGCTAGGTCGGTACCTATCGAGGGTAGTTCAAACCAGTTAACGCTACAAAAGCTGACGTCAGTACCGTAGCAAGTGTTAGCTTGGGCGTGAAGCGTCTCGAGACTTTGCTTTAAAAAAGTTTTCCGAGTGCGTCCCGCGTGCGTGATCACCGCACGCGGTAACTGTGTGTATTGCAACACCGGGGACACTTAATTTTCTCGTTACTCTGTTATCCGCCGGAACAGCGTGTCTGGAATTGGTTCGCGCTCGCACCGCCGCTTTCGGAAGCGTTTCGGCTGTCTGCGGTCTTGACAATTCCCTTCTAATTTCCGCTTCCTTCTTTTAATTTCGATCCCACTTTTAATTAGCGCCGCGGCTTCTTATCGGGCGCCGTGAATCATCAACGTCTCGAGTAACGGGCCGCCTCGGGTAGCTTAATTAAATACCGTATAATAAACTCGGAACTTCCTCTTATCCCGGATATCTCACGGATAGTTCGGTGTTTCGAGTATCTTTTCGAACAGTGAACAGTTAACGCTTTTGCCGCCGCTGACCGTAGCATCGTTGCGTGCGCCGAGTGTCCGTTTCTATCGCGTCTTCACGCTGAATTTGTTAACCAAATGACTTTTCTACCGTGAAAAACCGCACGGCCGTAGTATAAGGCGCATAATAACAATCCGAGGCGAATTACATCGGAAGATATACAAACACGATGTAATTAACATTGCTGGAGATAATAGAGCACGTTAATCCTTTAACCGGTTCAACCGAACTATTGACCCGCATTCGGAGCTCATACGGAAAATTCTTAAATAAGATTAATAGCACATAAAGTTCCATGGGAATTCATTGTCCCCAGACTTTCCGTGGCTAATTAACGCAGGAAACGAATGTCTGTTTTAGCGGTTCGAATACCGAAATTTCAGCAGTAGCGAAAGTATCGAGTATCTTTAGCGCGGACGTCGTGAATTCTCGAATTTTCCGGACGGCCGAGTGTTTTGACACGTTAATGGTGTCTCCTGAATGTCTCGTAGCTACCCAGGTGTCCTGATTACCCGGCCCGTTATATATATAACTGTGACAAAGCTTCGAAGTCGGACATCAGCAAAACCAGCAGCAGCCACTGCTCCGGAAGAGCCAGTGCAAGCATCATCTCGCTACAGCACTGCCTGCCACGAACTATGTCTAACTTTCCCACCGTGAGGCTACGTGTGTTCTTCGATATCACTACATTACCGGGCAGCGGTACCTCTACATCAAAGACGTAAAACTACTGTGAACGATCGACCTCCTCTGAGGAACTATCTTCCTCGATCAACGTCTAAGAGATGTAATAATATAGAGAGATATAATCTAAGATATACATAAATATATATATATTTATCTGTATATATATAATATATATATATATTTATACGATATACAGTATAATACGTATCGTAAGACGATAATAGAAAATATAATGGTCGAATCAAGCCGACAACACCGAAAGCTTTCTATGCTCCCCGCGGTCGACCCGACCACGAAGTGTATTGAATCGTGTGTGTCGCCTCCCTCTAATCGCTAAGACAATCGTTACGTGTGTATCGGTCGTTGATTACGCTACTATCTGACATGCCTCTGTAACTGAAACATTAGTTGCACAAAAGGAAGAACGTGGATAGAAAGGTAGAAAGAAAAAGAAACGTTCACAATGGATAATTACGTATAATACGTACATGGATAGACGAGTTCGATAAAAATCGCGACTCAGACCGGCGAGTGGAGCCGGTCTCGCTCGGCTCGGCTCGGATCGTTCGCTACCGTCTCGAGCAGCTCTCGCTTTGGCACTAGGCTAAACTAATATAATATCTCGTTGCACGGCGATGTTCAGGTCTGATTAAAATCCGGATAACGATGTTAACTAGAACGAGGCGCGCGCGCGCGCGCGTCCCGGCATGCCACGGATCTATGGAAAAGTGTTCTGACGCCGGCGGAGAGAAAATCGGCGACAGAGTCGAGCCGCGGGACGCGTCTTTCGGTTTCGACGCGTTCCCTGGAACGCCTCGGTTCCCGTGGCGGAAGGAAATTGAATTTTAGGGGTTCAGACGACGCCTGGGGCGAGACGCCTCGCGGCGGAATCAATTTGGCACTTTAAGGGTGTCATCGTTGACGGTTATCCCCATCTTATTCGTTGGATTTGATCTGAATTATGGAAAAATTATGAGCGTACATTTTTGAGAGATTTAATGTATCGTTAATGAATCGATTGAAGCAGGACGATGCGTTGGACTTGGAACTGCTTACAAATTAATTCGGCGAGATCAAATGATGTGTATTGATTCCTATTTAAACGGCAATAGTGAATCATTATTTTTCTGGAGTTTATATTCTTTGTTTCAAGTGTTGGGTAGTTATGTTTAAATAGTATTTTAATAATAAGAGAAATAAGACTGATGAAGACTTAGTGAATTCGATGGGGATAATTCTCCGGTAACCTATGATCGTTAGACTTTGTTTGAGTCATATGAGAACAGGAAGATTCCTTAGGCCTCTGTTTAAAGCATCTCACAACCGACATCGTCTCATCCGGAACAGTCTAAACTGTTTTCAGTAGAGTTCGTCGATTTTCTTGTTCACAGATTCGTACCCTACCTTAAACTGCGATTGTCTTTCATCTTCGTTGAAACATGGAACTACCATAGCTGTCGAAGGAAGTCACCGCATCGGAATGTGCAGATTTTAAAAAATCCTCGCGTGTATTAAACAATCCTTCTCTGCGAAGAATCACATTGAGGAAATGAAATCAATCTCCAACGTTCAAACGTTAAATGTAATCATTCAAGATTCTTGTCCGTCGTTCCTGAAAACTTCGACCGATCAAAATCACCCCCTCAGAATGAATTCTCAACGAGAAGGGAAATTGTTTCTAGAACACCATACTATGTTCCGAGTACACGCAAGAATTGGTTAGAATCGAAATTTTCGAGTTGGTCGACTGTCCTCGCAAGTAAAAAGATATGAGAAAAGGGGGTGTCTTCGAAGAGAAAAATAGGAGTCCATGCAAAAAAATGGGATCGATATTAAAAAATTCTGCCGCGATTGTTGGGTACCAGATACTGGTGTTCGGACTCCTCTCATGAGGAGGATGACCTAGATCCGCGAAGAGGCGAGGGTCTTCGACGGGAGTGGGTGGTTTTACGTGTCCTTGAAAAAAAAAGGTGTGAACGTGTCCGAGGCGTAAAAAGGAGAGAGAGTGAGAAAAGTGTGAGGCAGTGGTCAACAAAAGGAGAAGAAAAATCTGTCCAGGCACACGCAGATCCCATGGGCATCGCAGAAGCAGTGGAGAATTGGAGTAAAAATTCGTGAACCGAGGTCGGATTTGTTTCGTTGCAACTGTACAATTCGACATTCCTGCCGACAATTAGAACACGCGTGAACCGGAAACACGTAATTGGAATCCGTGGCTGTAAACGAACAATGGTTTCCGTATTGTCGGCAAAAATATCCTCCGCGGTCTTTCGAGTGCGAATATTTTTAGAAGTATCTGTATAATCATACACTTACGCACGCACAGATATAAATGTATCAAAACATACGCAAGATCAGTATCATTGAAAGACAGGCGAGAAAGAGATAATAAAAGAAGCTGCAGTTCGTCGTCGCAAACGCGGGTGCAAGAGATTGTATACGTGAAAAGGGAGCAACTTGTGCGACAGACAAACAACTGGAAAAGGTGTGTCATTGAAACAAGAGGAAAACCAGAAAATTCGAAACCGTAAGCGCATCCCAATAAAAAAAGAGAAGAAAAAAAACGAAATGAAACGTTCCGTACGGCATTCGAAGG